GAACATAAAAGACCTCTGAAGTTTCGAAATTGACCTCCTTCGTCTAGTACACGCACGCACACATACATATATGAAAACAGATAAGGGAGTGGCCAAAAGCACTTGGGACAATGGGAGATATGGACAGTTTTTCTATTCTCTCACTCCCACGAAACGGAAGAATGTAAGAACGCGGGAAAAACTAAATAAAATATTTTCTTTGTCCGTCATATATATACATATATATATATATATATGTATATCTAAACGTATATATATATGTATATCTAAACGTATATATATATATATATATATATATATATATATATATATATATATATATATATATATATATATATATAAAGAAAGAACAGTAAGATATAAAATCCGGTGTTCTTGTAGATATTTTTATTTTACAAAATAGTGCTCAATGTAAATTTACAGAGCATTAATATTATAAATTAATTGATTTAAAATATGGTTTTTTCATGTTACACAGTTAAACCAAAAATGGAATTAGTTCCATTTCATCTTGAAGATGAAATGGAACTAATGCTTTTAATTTAATTGCAAAATTAAACTGGGGGTTTTAGCTTCTATTTTTGAAAACTGGTTGGAATTGTGTAGCGAAAAAAAAACATATTTTAAATCAATTAATTTATAATATATATATATATATATATATATATATATATATATATATATATATATATATATTATAATAAAGAGAAAAAGAATTGTAAGATATATAATCCGGTGATGTTATTAATATTTTATTTTTACAAAAGAGTGCTCAGTGAAAATCTACAGAGCATACATATTATAAATTTTCTTATTTAAAAATATGTTTCCCTCGCTACGTAGAAGTTACCATGTTTCAAAATCCAGAAGCTAGAAACTTCAAATTCAATTATAGAATTAAATTAAATTCCTAGTATATGACAAAGAATATATTTTATTTAGCTTTTCCAGTGTTCTTACATTATTATATATATATATATATATATATATATATATATATATATATATATATAAGAAAGAGGTTGTAGTGGTTCCAACGAGAGAAAAGTATGTATATTAAAAAAGAAGAAGAGAGGTGCCGCAAACGTTTTTGGTTGTAATGTGTATTTTCTCTAAAAAAACACAAACGTTTTTTGGTTGTAATGTGTTTTTTAAAAAAAAACACATTACAACAGATAGATAATGTAATGTGTTTTTTAGAAAAAAAAAACACATTACAACCAAAAACATTTGCGGTACCTCTCTTCTTCTTCTTTTTTTTATATATATATATATATATATATATATATATATATATATATATATATATATATATGTGTGTGTGTGTGTGTGTGTGTGTGTGTGTATACACAGACTCACACACACATATGTACTGTTTGTAACACCACAATTGTCTAAATTGTGTTACTGCATAATTGCCCATCCCACAAAATGTTTCATATCTAAAAAAAAAAAAAAAACACACAAAACTAATTGAGTTTCTTTTTTCCAGATATTCAGATAAAACGTTTAGACATCTTGACACCATTTGTCGTAAGAATCACTGAAAAAAAACCTTTGAGTTATTCAGCTAGAAAGAAAACACTTTAAAATCGTTTCCGGTCAGCCACATTTTCTTCTCAACTGAGCAATGGTGAGACGAAAAAGCTCACTCAGGTCTTCAGTAATGATACCAACTTTCATACTCTGGCTTCTATCTTCAAAGTCCATTCAAGAGCCATGAAGAGAACGCCGAATATTTTTTTTTAAATGAGGGAACAGTAGAGAGGAAAACTATCGGAGGTCATGGTAAGAAGAGGGATCGTCATTTCAACTTAGAGATCCAGATTTCCAGTAAGATATATATATATATATATATACTACTGTTCAAAACTTAATCTAACAATTGGTATTTCGCTGTTAGACGATCTGGACTATTTTATATATATATATATATATATATATATATATATATATATATATATATATATATATATATATATATATATATTATATGGTATATAATTTATTCCATTGGAATAATTTAATGGAATCGTAAATACGATCAATTCATCAGACCTAGCTTTTTGAATTTGTAGGTCTGATGAATTGGATCGTATTTACGATTCCAGTGGAATTAATTATGACCATGGAATATTAGTGTTTATTAAGCCTTTTTATTATATCCTTACTCTGTCCTAGACATTGAGTTCTACCTGGATTCTTCCTCTTGAAATTTTTTTTTCTAAAAATATACATATATGGGTATTTATATTTATATATTTTGAATATGTATGTATATTTTCCACTAATATTATCTATCTATCTATCTATCTATCTATATATATATATATATATATATATATATATATATATATATATAAATATATAGTTAGTTTATAAAAAAAAAACTAGGTAATCCGTATGGGTAAACCTAACGAGGATAAAATCTAGAGAGCTCAATGTAAATCCAGAGCAAATAATTTAAATAAAAACAGACCACTTTTAAGGTTTCCATGTA